GGGAGGGAGGGAGGGAGAGAGGGAGGGAGGGAGGGAGGGAGGAACAAAGATCCACTAGCCTGAAAGTTTGACTGGGACTTCCGTTAGGCTTCTGAAACCGACTCCTTACCCAGGCAACAAACTCCAGCAGCATGCTAATGAATACTCCATATGATAAACTTTGGAAGTCACCCACAGACATTTAAAACAAAACAAAAAAAACTTCTCCTTCTTGGGCCAGAGTCTCCGTGACTATCTCAGAGGCTCTGAGAAGTTTCAGGTGAGTGGTATTTTAAGAACAGAGAGGAAGAAGCTGCATGTGGAATGCCAGCTTCGAAGTTCTCACTTCACTTTCCTACGTCTTTGGAGGAAGCCTTGGGGTGGCACAGGGACAAGCAGTAGCAAGAACCGAGACAGGAGGTTGGCAAAGATGCAAAAGACTCTTAAGGAGACCTTTAATTCCTAAACAATAAGTGACCATGAGGTTATGGATGGGATTTGAACTGGAAAGAAATGAACACTAACTCCAGCTTGTCAAAGGTGAAGCTCACCCAGAGGGATGACGTGCCTGAGGTCTCGACGATATTGCTTAGGTGAGAAGTGCAGAGGGTGGTGTTACCAACTGTTTGGCTGGGCGGTTCTGCAATCATAGGCTCTTGAGTGTCAGGTGGTTTGATTAGAAAAGGCCAGGGATAGAGATGTTTCATCTTTGGAATGTCTTTAAGGGTCACTCTACTTTGCAAATATGATATGGGTTGAATGTTCATTTATATGTATTGTGCTCGTTAACTAAGCAAGATTATCCCTTGGTAAAAATCAAAGCTTCATGACTAACCAAGAGTAGGTCTTTGATGACTTAGCGGTTTTTTTTTGTTTGTTTGTTTGTTTCAATTATTTGCAAAAGTATTTTTAGCTCACACACAATGTATTGACTGTTTTATGCGTGCATACAACTCTGTACATTTTACAAATGTGAAAAATTACATAGCTCATGACAATCAGAATAGAGGGCAATCTCTTATCCCTATACTTGATTCTTCCTTTTCTTCATGCATTTCTTGTTGTGGGGACGGGGCATTCACGTGTGCGTACACCCCGGCCATGTCACAATGCATGTGTAGAAGTCAGAGGACAGCCCTGTGGTGTCAGGTCTCTCCACCTTTGGATGAGTACCAGATCTTGAACTCAGCAGGGTAAGCTCCTTTACCAGCTGAACGCCATCATTGATGTTCTACTCTCTGGAGTGAAACCTCCCAGCTGACCCTCACCCTCACCTTCAACTCCACACAGCAGTTTCCTCTTTCTCCAACCTTTGTTTGGTGTTTTTGGAGACAGAGTCTTACCCAGCCCAGAGACTGACTTCCAGCTCCATATGCTGTCGAGGATGACCCTGAACTTCTCCTCTGCTTTCCAGGCCCTAGTGCTAAGATTACAGGCCTATGCCACCACACCCAGCTTTTGAGTTTGACTTCTCTCATTTAGCATTAAGTATTTGAAAGTCATACCATTGTGTGTTCAATAATGCCTTCTTATGTATTGATGAATAGACCATTGTGTGGGTGGACTCGCTTATTCACCTATCCACCCACAAAAGGACACTTTGGAAGATCCCAGTTGTTGATAGTTACATATAACAGACATAAATGTCTGGGTGAGGAGAATTTTGATATCTCCGGGTAAATAGCTAAGAGGAGATGGCTGAGTCCTAGGAAACTGCCTCTATTTTCCAAAATGACTCTAACTACATTCTTAGCAGGAATGTGTGACAGTACAGTTGCTCTGCATCCTTGCCAGCATTTAGACATAACTGTCTGTCTGTCTGTTTGTTTGTCTGTTTCTTTTCTTTACTCATGCCAACAAATGTACTTTTGTTTAACTTTACTGGGCTGTTTATCTTTTATGTTAAATTACTTTATTTGTTGTTCCAGACAGGATCTCACTCTGTAGTCCAGTCTGGCTTAGAACTTGATATGAAGCCCAAGTTGACCTCAAATCCAAACAGTCCTCCGACCACAGCCCCCTAAATGCTGGGATTATAGGTTTGTGCCACCACATTCCACTACGATTGTCTTTTCATTCTCTTTAGAGTGTCTTCTACAAAGTAAATGTGGAAGAAGATCAATATACTACCTTTTTAGTGGCTCATGCATTTGATATTTTATGTAAAAACTCCTTGCCTAGCCCAAGGTCATGAAGATTTTCTCTTACATCTAAAAGTTACATAGTTTTATTTCACTATTTTTTAGTATTGATCTGTGACTCACTTTATATCACAACTTTTTCTTTTAGGATTTTTGAAGAGAGGTTACTCATTAATTGAATCAAGATACCCATTTGGTTCCTGATACATAAGCTTAGCACTATGAGATATTTTTTATCAGAGGTATATCCAGTATTTCATGTCCTTTAATCAATCAACAAATATTTATTAGTGTGTTATTTCACCTTCATTACTGCTTTCTGAATATTTTGGAAAATCCTTATTGGATATCCTGTACCCTAGGTCACATCTGTGGATTTTCCAATCAGCACAGTTGGCCCGTGAATAGTTTTCATTAGCAGCCTACTGACAGACAGACCATCAAGGAGTCTGGAGTCCAAAGGAGTAACTATATTGTATCTCCTTTCATGAGAATTCCAGTTTTTCCCCTTCCAAAAAAATATTTTAGGCTAGTATGATGGCTCATGCCAGCAATCCCCAGCAGTTAGGAGGCTGAGCCAGAAGGGTTTCTCTGAGTTTGAGGCCAGCGTGGAATACACATTGAGTTCCAGTCTGGGATACATAGTAGAAACCCTTTTTCAAAAAACAAAACTTTTTTTTCCTCTGACAAGCAAAGTAAAGAATAAGATGAAAGTAATGTGTGAGATCTTTAAACTTACAATGTTCTGTTCAGCATTTCGCCTCTGATTGTCAGAGACGTTAGAGTTTTACATAGAGCTACAAAGACCTCAAAGGTCACCTTGCCTTGACCCAATCACTTAATCCAGTCAACAAGTATTATTACTGAGCACCTCCTGTGAGCCAAGTGCTTAGTACAAGTCAATGAGAAAGGTGAACGTTCAACCAAGGGGAGGCTCCTGATCTGAGGCTATTCCAATGCAGGGGCTGAAATCAGGATCTCAAGATTGCCATCTCCTGTTGGCATTCCTACACCCTGAAAGGTCCTAGCATCCTGGGGTCCTCCTCCCTACAGCAGTGCTCACTCTAATGAACAACAGAATGTCACAGTCTTTGGTTTCAGGGAGACTGCAGACCGAGTATTAGAAGGAAAGAGACTGTTGGACTTTGGATAGGTTTAAGGGATGAGGCAATCAAAAAGTATAGTTTAGGGAAGAGAATTTTAAGATAGACTAACTGGTACAGTGACTCACACCTGAATCTCAGTGCTTGGGAGACCAGTGCAGAAGGATTGCCATGAGTTCAATGCCAACCTGGGCTCCATTGCAGTGACTTTCAGGCTAGCCTAGGCTTGCGTGTAAGACCTTGCCCGAAACAACGACAAAGAGGCTGTTTGTTATCAATGGGATTCTGAGAGGAGAGTCTATTGAGAAGTATTGAGAAGGGCACAGGGAGAAGAGGATGCATTCCAAAACAAAACCTAAAAGAGCAAAAATACAGTTTCAAATATTCTGTATCAGCTCTTTTTAAACAACCACTTTGAATGCTTCCTTCCTTTAAAAGACAGTTTAGGCAACTTTCCAATTAACTGATAACTATTGAAAATTGCCCAGAGTTTGAGATTATCTCTTCTCATTGTGTCAAGACAGAAATTTTCTCCCTTTCAAGACAGTCCAGAACACCAGAGCAGAGCACCCATGGGTACTAAGATAATATTGTAAAGCAACCACCACCCATCATAGCATATACCGTGTAAGCACTATTTTAGAGAGGATGAAGAAGTATTCTCAGACCACAAAGCTATGAGGTTGGGATTCAGAAATGGGTCCACTCCAGAGCCTGTAGATGAAGCAAGATGGTCTTCAAAAAGCTTACCTGGATTTTTGAGGACAGCCCTAAAGAGATGGCACAGTGAGAGCTCCAAGTTCTTTGGTAGAGACGGAAATATTTAGAACTTCAAGCTCTTAGCAGGTGCTCTTATGTATTAATTGAATATGAGCAGCTAGAGTCAGATGGGATAGTTGTGCCCGTCATCCCATAAAGTAGGATGACCACAAATTCCAGGCTAGCCTGGAATAGCAAGGCCAGGTCTCAAAATAACAAAAAGAAATAAGACAAGTGGTTGTTCAAAAATAATTTAATATTCATAGCACCAGTATTCACCATGGCAAAAAAAAAAACCTGAATTGTCCATCAAATGATGAATGCATCAATAAAATGTGCTACATATATTCATAATGTAAAACATGATTTTGATCCCAAGAAGAAGTTGTGATATATGCTGCAACATAGATAAACCTTGGAAACCAGCTAAGTAAAAGATGTAGACACAAAAGGCTGTATGTATATTGTGCAATCCCATTCATACACAAAGTCTAGAATATGCACACACGCACAAGGTAAGCAGCTCTGTTTCATAACGGCACTCCCCAGCCACCACATCCTGGTTCTCCCCCGGGCACAGAAACCACAAACCCCAGTGAACATGTGACTCTTGTGAAACCAAAATCAAATTAGATCTTTTCTCCTTTAAGTTGGTCTTTTCAGGTATTTTGTCACCGAGATGACAAGGATGCATTTCTCGGAACACATTCCTGTTGTTAAGTACGGTGTGTCTGTGTCTACGAAAGGCTACTCTTGCTTGACCACCAAAGCCACTTGAAAGACATTTGTACCTCTGATGCTGGTTTGTAGTCTGGCATACGACAGAAGCTCAGTAGGACATGTTTGAAGAGATACACAGGACACTCTCCCAGGTTCACCAGTCTTGGTTTCTAAGAGAACACATCTGTCTCCCAACCCTTACCATTTCCATCCTCACAAGGTTCTCAGCAACAGTTCTCTTCTCCCCATATCCAATGCCACCTGCCTAACAGACAATGTAAAATTCCTGTTGACATCCGGCTTCATCCTCAGTTCATCCTGTCTATATAGTGAGGTCTATTTCCTTCCATTCTTTGAGCACTAGCATTAGCATACATGTACCCCACAGTGCATTTCCCCACCATTGCAGCCAACGTGCCTACCAGTGAGACAGGTGTCAGGGCTTAGGAGGAACAGAAGGGCTGTATTCGGAGGCAGGGGCTACAAGCACATCTGTATTCTGTAGGCAGGAACATTTCATCAGTGCAATCTACTCATCTCATTTACCGGTTCCTGTTTGGATTTAAAAGCTAAACAAAAGGCATGAAGGATTTTAATCCCAACTGACAAAGTCTGAATTTGCATTTCTCTCATTATTAAGGCAAATTATTGAAGATTAAATAAAATGTTGATTAGAAGACAGTATTCTATAAATGCACTGTGGTAGTTAATCTGTCTATACATTGATCACACCACACTGTACTTAAATTTAGAATTTTCATGCAAATTAAATTTTCTTCTGGGGAGGTAAATTCCTAAGAGTTATAAGGTAGTCTGAAAAAATAGATTATTTTTATTATAATAGAAACAGTCATATGTCATAGGAAGTGTATTCACTTATTTCTATTTTGCATATTCAGAGACAAGAGTCTCACTCCATAGTCCTGGCTGCCCTGGAACTCACCAAGTAAACTTGAACTTATGGGGAACCTCCTACCCCTCCCTGCCTCTCAAGTACTAGGATTACAGGTGGGTGCCACCATGGTCAAGCTCGTATGTGTTTTAAAAGGCAGAATACTTACTGAGAACTTATGCCTCAATCATAGTGGCCACTCAGCAGATGATATTCAAGTAAACAATAAAGTCTTTTTTATTTTTAAGAGGAATCTCCTATCTGCCCACCATTCCAAAGTAACTGTGGTTAACTTGGTGTCATTGAACTTCGTCCTTTACCATGTGTATTTCAAGTGGACACTGTTTTATGAGCAGCTGTGTTCACTTCACAAGGTGTCATGAACACTTTCCAGACCCCTAACTAGCTGCAGGATACTCTCTCTTTGGCTAACTCAGATCTAACTGTATCTCGATGCTGACTCATGGGCATATCAGAGTGTGGAGGGGGAGGAGGATGAAGCAGTCCAAACTGAACTGTTATTATACTATATTAACACCTTTTGTTCCTCCCAGAAATGGCAAGCCAAGAGAGGTCAATTCTAACCCCAGCCAGAGGGACTGCTGCCATCAGGCTGTGGACACTGGGCAGAGCAGAAGGGTGTGTGGTCTTTTACTTATTGAATTCCACCTGCTCTGTGACTCAGTCCCCCTCCCCAGAAGTTTATTTAAACCTCCGGCTATGAATGCTGGCAGCAACTTGATTGGACTTCTGCCAACCATTAGGAAAGAAAAGCCCAACCTGTACCGCCCCTTATCTCTGAGGCTGAGCCCCATAGATAAATACTGGTTTCCTTCCCTAGTGGGCGTCCAGGACTACATACTCACAGTTTCAACTGAACTCTGATTGAGGGAAAGCAGCTCGTTCTTGTGGACGCTAAATCTGCCTAGAGGATCCTAAAGGGGCTTCAAGACTGCATTATGCTAAGGAGTCATCTGGGTTCAGTCTTCCTTAGGTTTATAGTTCAATGAGATAATTCATGTACGAGGGAGGTATAGCTCAGAGGCATCCTTTACCAACCAGAAACAGCTTATCTTCATAGATAAAACTGCCAGAATGTAGCTACAATAGATATAAAGAGTATATTAAGGTTTGGGGTTTCCTTGGGTTTAAGAATGTAGTATAATATTTGTGAGGGTATTTCAAAAGTTCTCTTTTACTGTTTTATTACTGTGGGCAAGTTCCTTGATATATGTGTGTGTGTGTGTGTGTGTGTGTGTGTGTGTGTGTGTATGTGTTTATTGCTTATATCCTCAACTGTATAAAAAAGACAAAAGGACTAGAAAGGTGGCTCAGTGGTTAAGAGCACTTGCTTTTCTTCCAGAGAATCCACATAGCAACCCATGACCATCTATAACTCCAGTCCTAGGAGATCCAATGCCCTCTTCTCTCTTCCATGGGCACTAGGCACATATGTGGCACACATAGCAGGCAAAACACTCATACATATAAAATATAAAAATTATTTTTAAAATTAAAAATAAAATAAAAAGGACAGTAATGTAAGTCTTTGTGAATTTAAAAGTGGACGGTGTCAAGACTGAATCCTGTGATGTGTGGCGTGGTGCCCGGTTCACCAGAACTTTCATGGATGTTAGCTATTTCACTGTCATTAATACTGAGTCCCCTGTCTTGTGCGATGGTAAATAATGGATGTCTTATCAGGATATCACATTTGACCCCAGGTTCTACATATTATAGATAAAAACACATAGACTACACTCAGTCAAGCAGTCACCTCATAGACAAAGTTACTGCACAAGCAGACAACCAATCATTCTCACAGACATGTACAACTACTATACACTCAGCCAAGCAATCACCCACACAGGCATTTTACAACTACTGTATTCCAGTTTTTAGTAATCTAAATGAAAGAGGGAGAAATACGTTTCTGTCATGGGAAGTCCTTTTGTTCAGAAAGAAAGAAAAGAATGTCCACACATGACAGCACATCCAACAATCCCAGCATTTAGGAGGTTAAGGAAGGAAAATTGTGGATTTAAGGACACCTTCTTTGCATAGTAAAAATCTATCTCTGAGACAGAAGAAGAAAAGGCAGGCAGGCAAAAGGGAGGGAGGGACAGACAGACAGATGGAAGAAAAGGAGAAAGAAAGGAAAGAGGAGAAGAAGGAAGAGAAAGAACTGATGAGGTTGTTGAGACCTGTCTAATGTCATTTGTAGAGTGACCCAGTTTAGAAATCTAACAACTTGGTGAAGTAATGGCTCCACTATGATTCTCATAATGACTCATTATGATTCTCTGGATTTCCTTGATGTCTGTTGCTATGTTCCCCTTTTGTTTCCGATTTTATTAATTTGGATATTCTCTCTGTGTTTTTGGTTTGGATAAAGGTTTGTCTATCTTGTTGATTTTCTCAAAGAACCAACTCTTTGTCCCACTGATTCTTTGTATTGTTCTCTTTGTTTCTATTTTATTGATTTCAAACCCGAATTTGATAATTTCTTGCTGTTTACACCTCTTGAGTATGCTTACTTTTTTTCCTCTAGAGCTTTCAGGTGTGCTGTTAGGAGCCTGCACAAGTCTGCACCTGGTACTCTGTGTATGGGTTGTGGCTGTTAGCTTGGTGTTTTTCTGGGACTCCTAACAGGGGAAGCAGGTGCATCTCTGACTCATTTGCCTGCTCTTGGGACTCTTTTCCTCCTGTTGATTTGCCTTGTCGAGCCTCAATATGAGGGCTTTTGCTTTGTCTTATTGTACCTGTTTTGTTCTGTCTGGCTGTCATCTCTTGGAGGCTTGCTCTTTTCTGAAAAGGAAATGGAGGGGAGAGGATCTGGGGAAGAGGAGAGGTGGGGGCAGCTGGGAGGAGTGGAGGGAGGGAAAACTGTGGTCCAGATGTATGAGAGGAGAATCTATTTTCAATTTAAAAAATTGACAAACATTTTGAAATTTTCCCTTCTTTTCTTTTGTGAGTTTACCACAATACAATATGCATGCTCTGTTCTGTGTGAATATAAATAGACTCCGTTGAGGAAGAAAGACATAAAAGGCTTCTGTGACAACTGCTACCCCCCACCCCAACCTACCCCAACAAAAAGTAACAGCCTAGACAGAAAGCCATCAAAGATAACTCTTAAAATTTTCGATAAGGATGCTGAAGTGTAGCTCTGCACAAATGATGGCTTCTGGAAGTGGTCCAGGTGAGGAAGAACTCAGTTTTCCTTAAGGGGCTGGCCACCAGGAATCTGACCATGCTCCAGTGAGTATATGGGCAACACAAATTGATGCTTTTTTTCTTTCTTTTTCTTCTTCTTTTTTTAGAGGAGGACCTGGGAGGACTGGGAATTGAGTGTGTTTGGGATTCATAAGGTGACATTCCTAAATAACCAATAAAAATATTATTTAAAAATGTATTTATATGGGGGGGGCAGAAAGAAAGAAATTTAACAAATCAGATGTGTAATTCTGAAGCTTAAATAAAACTTAGAAACCAGAGTAGATCTGCTTCACTAGCCCCATTTCTGATCACAAAAATACACATACACACACACATGCACGCACACATGCACACACAGGTACTTGCGCGCGCGCGCGCGCGCGCGCGCACACACACACACACACACACACACACACACACACACACACATACACACCCCTCAGCACTAAACTGAGAATGGCAGCCCCTACCTCGTATGATCTGGGAATGGTTACAGCTGGCCTGTACCGTCTTACTGGTTCTCATTCCATCTGAGACCTTCATAGACTCAGCTGCCAGGCCAGGGCTGGATACAGTGTCATTGTGACTTGGAACCATCAGGTGAGTAAAACCAATCTCTCTAGGATTGGGATCCTTGCAGACGCTATGGCCTGAGCACTGTCCACTCTCACCTGATCCTTGAGTCCCTTCTTAGTGGACCCAAAATCATAAAGGACAAAGTTTCTTAAGAAAAGATCCCATGTTTAACATTGATCACCATCTTGGGGCTGAGTTAAGCTCGGGGGCGGGGGAAGCACCACACAGCCTCTGGGAGGCCCTGGGTTCCATCCCTAGTGCCTGAAAAAAATTATTGATCATTACTTTCTTCAATACCCATGTCAGTTATGAATTATTTAGTGAAATCTTAGGATGCCTAATGAAGAGTCTCTCATCCTTCAAACTTTACTTCCTTATCATTACCAGAAAAAAAAGAAAGAAGACAGGGAAAGCCTGCTTTTATAAACTTGTGTGTACTGATCGTATAGTTGTCCCCCAAAGAGGATGTCATTATTCTGGAAATGTCAGGTAATCACACCTTCTGTGTATCAAGCCCAACTTTGTCCTCCTTTCTGTCCTCCCTCCTCCCCCACCTTCCTCCCTTCCTCCCATCCTTCCTTGCTAACCTAGGCCTTTCTATGTTATCCAGGTCCACGAAATTCAGCCATCCGAAGAATGTTGTTAGATCTTTGCACAGAGCGTCAGCCCCTTCACTCTGAGTTCACTGTTTCCCACTTGAAGTGGTCACTGTTGACTGCCTTTTACAGACTTACGTATATTCCTGTTCCAACAAAATGACATACACTGGTAATGTTGCTTAAATTAGTAATAACCCACAACTTACACAGCTCAGTGTTGGAACTGTATCTCATTAAAGATAACACATCCTGTTGAACATGTATTATACAAAAATAATAGATAATAATAATATCTGCTTGAAAGTATCTCAATTAGGACTTAGTTAAAAGTGCTTAGCAGCAGAACTATATCCAACAGCTTTAGTAATTAATTATACCTAGATGTATCAATCTTATATTATTTCAATTCACAATGAATACATGAGTTAATTTTTATAACTTTCCAAAGTCTATAGGCAATAAACAAATTACCAAACTGTCTCTCTGTTCTCAGCTCTGGTTCTTCAGCTATGGCTTTTATTTACCAGGCCTATTGACTCACCGAGACTTTGTCATTAGGCTAAATACTCAACTATGTTTGAACTATGCTTAGACTTTAAATCCCAGGGCAAATGGGATGTTTTTTATCCTTCTTACAATATGACAGGCTGTACTGATAAAGAACCAGTTTTTAAAAATGTTACTAGGAGTGATCATAGCTTTAAATTATGAATGATCAAAACCCTGTAAAGCATCTTTGTGTACATTCAGAAAGGAAGCATTTTTCTCCTGGCACACTCTGCCTTCCCCCGTGGTGTCCAGGGCACAAGACTTGTGGAGTACAGACTAGATGTCAATGTCCACTTAGGCCCAACCTGAAGCACGCTCAGCAGCCCTGGAATGGGGTGCAAAATGTAACAGAATTTAGAAAGTCATTCATCTTTGATGTACTCTAACCAGCACATCCAGAAATGCATATCTCGATAATTAATTATAACCACATGTATTGTCAATTTTTTTAGAAAGGGGGAAAAAGGGTAAGATATCAATGAGCTACAAATTCATGGAGATATTTGAGCAAGTGAACTGAATTAAACCACCTATTTGTGGGGTAGAAATCAATTGGGTCTAGGTACTTTTATTTATAATGAATGTCGGTTCCATGGGACTTTTGATTTTTTTTTTGTTGTTGCTGATGTTGATGATGCTTTAAAAAAAAATAATATCTTGCTATGTAGCCTAGGTTGGCCTCAAGATCCTCTTGCCTCAACCTCGTAAGTCCCGAGACTTACAGACATGTGCCACAACACCTGGTTAAGACTTTTGCTTTTGACAATTTTCTTTAAAAGAATTTTCTTATTGGTATGAAGTGTTATTAAATAAAGCTTTGGACAATATGGCTTTAAAAATAATGAACATACACTTGAACCCAGAGCCTCATGCTTTCTGACCAAGCACTCTCCCATAGAGCTACACCCCCAGCAGAGGCTTCTATTTTTATGTAGCCTGTATAAACAGAGAATTCTCACCTAATCCTGCTGCATACACATTGTTATGAAATCACAAAATAGCACATTTTTACAGGTACTGTATATATATATTTGGCTACTTTTGGACTTACCCAGTTCTCAAGAGATGACGTCAAAAAAATAAATTTATAGCATGTTCTCTCTTTAGATGTTTTTAATGAAGAAATTAAATACTATGATTTCTAAATTTAAAAAAAAAACTAAACATTTTATGACAACGTACATTCCCAGTTTTCCTTCCAAAAGGTTAGTTCCAATCTTACTGACATGCAAGGTATACTGGTTTTACTCCATTCTCGGTGGTGTTGGGCCTTAATATTTTTAACTATTCCAGAAAAAAAGTAGTAGTTAAATATGAACTTTTATCTTATGCTAATTTATTAGTCACAGTTGGCTCTTTCCATTTATTCAAACTCACAATTAACAAAATAACATTAGTAAGTAGCACCTATTGTGTGTCAAGTGCCATGGAAAAGACTAGATGCTTTATTTCTGCACCCCACCTCACAAAATCCCAATACATTACTGCTGGCACCATTTTATGGACGAAGAAACTAAGGCTAGCATGCTGTAGTCTTGTTTTGTTTTGTTTTGTTTGTTTTTTTGAGACAGAATTTCTCTTTGTAGCTTTGGAGACTTTCCTGGAAATCACTCTGTAGCCCAGGCTGGCCTTGAACTCACAGAGATCTGCCTGCCCTCTGTCTCCCAGTGCTGGGATAAAAGGCGTGCGCCGCCGCCGCCGCCGCCGCCGCCGCCGCCACCACCACCACCCAGGATTGCTGTAGTCTTAATATGAAATATTCCTCACAAAAGACATGTCGAAGGCTTAGTCCCAGCTAGTAATACAACCAGAAGGTAATAGGATCATGAGACCAATAAATTCTTCTCTAGAAGAGTGATGATGAGTCGTATTGAATGGATGATTAGGAGATGGAGCCTGCCTGGAGAAAGCAGTTCACTGAAGGACATGTCTTTGGAGGGTTTTTCTTGTCCCTGGCCCCTTCCTGCTGCTACCTCTGCTTCCTGGCTATCATAAAGTGAGCAGTTTTCCTCTGCCTCATTAGGCCCTGCAACAATGGAGCAGCCAACAGACCACGGGCTAGATCCTCTGCGACCTTGAACCAAAGTGAATCTTCCCACCCTTAAGCTGTTTATCTTGGGTATTTTGTTGCCACGATGAGAAACTGACATGCACACTATGTCTGTCCATACCACAGGATGTCTGACACAGGGGTGCGGGTGTGACTCACCATGGTGTGTGGCCTCCAGGGACTGTGCCATACAGTTAGGATGTCATCCCTTTATCTGTTACACTTTTGGAAAATATTCCCCTAATGTTGCATATTTTTGTGTTCTTGTGTTTTTATGGGCAGAACACATTAAAATTCTAATTGATTTGTTTTTGTGATTTCTTGTATTACTTCTGAGTTTCAGCTGGTGTTTTAGCTCCAGGGACCTGAAAACTATTCAAATGTATTTTCCCCTGTGTGTACATGCATGCGTAACTTGTATGAATAGATGTATAGGAATATGCACATGCACTTATACATAAACATCCATGTGTAGACATACTCTTTAATCCATATGATCAATATCTTGGTGTACAGTACAATGTATCTGGGGCAGCTTTTGTGAGTCACTGGGATACTGAGGCACCAGAATTCAAATCTCTGACTTACATTTGTGCCAAGTGATATGATTAAGCCAAGACTACTTAACCCAAGCCCCAGTGAGTCATTCCAAACGCTTGAATCATACTGGCTGACCTGACAAAGTTTCTGCTGAATTATTGCCTTGAGAATTCTTTGCATGGCTAGTTGAATACTGGATGTCTTCAAGCCTTGTGATTTATAGCCGTTCGTCATCTGAGTGCCTGTCTGACCCAATGGGCATACCCATTGCATTTCCACAGAGAAGAAGTATGCTTGGCATTATATTTTGGTAGGTCCAAATTGGTTCTAAAGTTTAGGTCATTAGAGGAGAGTGTATCGTATACTGCAGACATTGTGTGGTGTGTGTACGTGCGTGCGTGTGTGCGTGTGTGTGTGTGTGTGTGTGTGTGTGTGTGTGTGTGTGTGTGTAGATTTCCTGTGTATAGGAAAAGGTGAAGCTACAGATTACAGTATGGAGATACAGAATGTATATAGACACAAAATAGAATACTTATGTAGGGCAGTCGAGTATGGCTAAGAATTTTCCCTGCTTATTCTTTTATAACTTCTGAATTTTGTTTAATGGGTTTGGACTATCTTTTCATAAATGGTTTTTATAGTGAAAATTAATTCCCATTTTTATTTGCTTATTTTTGGATTTGTTAATTTCTTATTAGCATACATCAATTATATATAGTGATAGGTTTTATTACCATTTTTGCACATGTACATAATGTATTCATGGGTGCACACACACCTTTACCTTTCCTTGGCTCTCTCACACTCACCCCATTTCTCTTCCCAATTTGTCTCTCTTCTATTGCGATGTTTTTGTACAAGTGTTACTCAGTGAGTTTCTCTGGAGTGGTTTACAGGATCATGGGCACCCTGTCAGTGGTTATATCAATGAAAACAATATTTCTCTCCTTCTCCTACCCCTCAAATTAACCTTTACCTACATGCAAACCCTGAGGGAGGGAGGGAGCCCCATGAGCCCTTCCCCATTGCATGACAGAGCTTGATGGGCCCAGTTTCATGCAGCCAATCACAGCTGCTCTGAGTCATGCCATGCCTGGAAATCAGCATTCCACACCCTCCCCCTCCATCCTTCCGCCCTTACATTCTTTCTCCCTCTTCTTCTACAGTGTTCCCTGTGCCTTCAAGGGGGTGATATGAATGTCTCATTTATGTCTGAGTGCTCAACAGCCATGAATTCTAAGTACTCTGGCCGCTTAGGAGTCTGTGTAGTCACTGCTTAGCATTGCAAAAAGAAGCTTCTCTGACCAAAGCAGGCAGCAGCCCCACCAGTCTGTGGTCATAACCAGAGTTAATAAGAAGGCGGTTTGACAGTCATGTTAATTCCGAGAAGCAAAACGAGAGCAGCAGCTTCCAGAGTGGGACCCAGGACCACCACGCGGGGCACTGAAATAGTGAAATTGAAGTTCACAGATGTCACTGATGGTACAGCAGTATTTTCTTGCTAGCTATTTATTGATTGATCTATTTATAGACAGATTCTCACTATGTAGCCCTTGGTTAGCCTGGAACTCAGTATGTATGTAGATCAGGCTGGCCTCAGACTCACAGAGTTTGCCTCTGCCTCCCTAGTGCTGGGATTAACGGCGAGTGCCACCGCTACCACTTTGATAATACAGCAATATTTTCTAATCACCTTATGAAAATAATGCAATATTGATTATAGAAAGAGCTACCAGTTTCGAGGTGGTTTAGTAACGTTGCATATTATACAAAATTTATTTGTTTATTCTGTCATGTGGAGTCTAGTTGCTATGCACTTACTCAAGCCAGGACCCTAGTTGGTTGCCTAGAACTACACTTCCCAGGTTGCTTTGCATCTAGCTAAGATGCACCCCAAGGAACGCCCTCACAATAGGGTGAAGAGTAAGAGGGCAGGAAGAAGTCAGGGCATGTCTGCTGTCCATGTCCCCTGTCTAACACTAGCCATGTCTGTCTCCGCACCAACCAGAAAGGCTCCACTGCCGTGTTCCTATGGTGGAGCCTGGTCCCAGGCTGTGATAGCGCAGTTTCCTCCTCCTGTCTGTCAAATCTGTCAGACGGCTTCCTGTTGTTGCTCGTCTCTGGGGTACACGTTTGGCTGTGAGTTCTTCCATTTTGAAAGAACCAAGTCTTTATACCAAATTTTCTGTCAGGAAACTTGAAGTGGCTTCTGTTTTTCTGGCCTGAGAGAATGACCGAGAAACTACATTTTCTGTTTCTTATTTGAAATATTCTTCCTTGCCCACAAGCAAGAAAGGCATTTCAGGGCTCCTTCACAAGCGTGCGAACATAGATTCAGGAT